CGCCGCCTGGGGGGGTGGGCGTGGGACCGGCCCCGGGCCCACTGACCCCCGGCCGCCAGCCCGAAGGGGACAGATCATGGACCACCCCCTCTCCAGCCCCCAGCTCTAGCTGCTTCTGATGTGCTGTTGAACCCAGCCCCTGAGTGTTTAAGTTCCAGTTCCTGTCCCCCATTCCCAGCAGCTCTGTATTTTCTCTGACTTGCTGGTTTCTTTCTAGTGTCTTATTTCTGGCACAGGTGGCCTTGCTCCTCGTTTATTTCCTAACACATGTTAACACCCATCCTGTGTGTGTCAAACCTGGCCACGCCAGTACCTAACGTCATGGCCCTCCCTTTTGTCTGCTGTTGTGCCCGCCCTCTCCACACAGGCAGCGTCGTTGTCTGTGCTGTCGTTGTTGTTTGTGGGCTCGGTGTCCCTCAGAGTTTATCTGGGGACCTTTGCAGTCAGGGAGCTGAAGGGCTTGTACTTCTGGAGAGAGAAGCTGGGTGGAGCATCTCCCCGAGGCCCGAGTGTGGACACATGGGGACTGTGACACTTGCCTGGATCATATTGCTGCCTGGGCATAGCTGTGGCCTCCCTCTTCTTGTCTTCCTGCTGCTGTCAAAAAAAAGGAGGCCTTAGGTTGTTCCTGCCTCACTCTTCCTCTGCCCCTTCATAGCCTGCTCACATGAGATGATAGAGCCAGGGGTGGCAGAGCACAAGATGATAGAGCCAGGGGGATGATAGAGAAAGGGGATGAAAGAGCCTGTGTGTGTGTGTGTGTGTGTGTGAGAGAGAGAGATAGAGAGAGAGAGAGAGAGAGAGAGAACGAGATGATAGAGCCAGGGATGATAGAGCAGGGGGGATGAAAGAGCCTGGGTGTGTGTGAGAGATAGAGCACAAGATGATAGAGCTAGGGCATATAGCATGAGATGATAGAGCCAGGGATGTAAGAGCATGACCGGATAGAGCCAGGGGGTGAGAGAGCCAGGGATGAGAGAGTCAGGGGGATGAAAGAGCCTGGTGGGGATGATAGAGTCAGGTGGGGGTGATAGAGCTGCATTTTAGCGCTCAGGCCCATCTCTTAAGGTTTGGGAAGTCGCAGGGAGAAAGTTGTACTCAGCACCAGTGAGTTGGATGAGGTTGACTCGCACCAACGCAGTGTTTATTCTGTTTGTCTTTGTGTGAGGCATCACTCGGCCCCCTGAGTTTTGCTCTGCTCAAGGTCTTCAAAGCAGGCCTTTAACAAATTGTTTTAAATTAAATTTATTGGGGTGACATTGGTCAATAAGATTATACAGGTTTCAGGTGTACAATTCTAGGATGCAGCATTGGTATGTGGCATTGTGTGCCCACCACCGAAGTCAGATCTTCTGTCCCCATATGGTTGACCCCCATTACCCTTCACTCCCCCTCCGTGCCCTTCTCCCGTAGCCCCCATACTGGATTGAGGAGTTTTGTTTGTCTTGTTTGCTCATTTGTTGCTTTAGGTTTTATGTCCCACACACGAGTGAGATCCTATGGTCTCACTTTTCCTGTCTGACTTACTTCACTCAGCACGATATTCTCTTTTTTTATTCATTTTATTTTTTTATTGATTTCAGAGAGGAAGGGAGAGGTAGAGAGATAGAAACATCAACGATGAGAGAGAATCATTGACCGGCTGCCTCCCGCAAGCCCCCCACTGGGATCGAGCCCACCACCCAGGCCTGTGCCCTGACCGGGATGGAACCATGACCTCCTGGTTCCTAGGTCGATGCTCACCGCTGAGCCACACTGGCCGGGCCAGCACGAGGATCCCAAGGTCCTTCGGGCCCCAGATCCGACGCAGCAGGTGCTTTCAGAGCCAGAACCGGCAGCCTCCGCCTGACCCGCCTCCCTCCTGCCTTCTCTGGGCTTTGTCTTCCTTCTCAGCAACTCGTGTTCAACTCGGTGACCAACTGCCTGGGGCCGCGCAAGTTCCTGCACAGCGGGAAGCTGTACAAGGCCAAGAGCAACAAGGAGCTGTACGGCTTCCTCTTCAACGACTTCCTGCTGCTCACGCAGATCGTGAAGCCGCTGGGCTCCTCGGGCACCGACAAGGTCTTCAGCCCCAAGTCCAACCTGCAGTACAAGATGTACAAAACCGTGAGTTGCACGCGGAGGCGCGGCAGGTGCTGTGGGTGGCCGTTCCCAGGAGAGTCCAGAGGGGGCCGTGGGTGGAGGGGGGGCGGGAGGGGAGGCCAGGGTTAGGGTGACTGCATGCCCGTCTTCCTGAGCTTCTCCTGTTGACCTTCACAGAAATTGTGTTGTTTTTAAAAATATGTATTTTTATTGATTTCAGAGAGAAATTGAGGAGGGAGAGAGAGACAGAAACATCAATGATGAGAGAGATCATGGGCCGGCTGCCTCCTGCATGCCCCCACTAGGGATGGAGCCTGCAACCCAGGCCTGTGCCCTGACCGGGAATCGAACCCTGACCTCCTGGTTCATAGGTCGACGCTCAACTGCTGAGCCCCGCCGGCTGGGCTGAAATTGTGTTTTTTATAAATTGAAGGCAAGACCCTCCCCAGCGAAAAGACCACCACCCGCTTCATTGCGCTGGGCGGGACCCACCCACACGGCCTCTGAGCGGTGCCTGTGCTCCCAGGAGGGGCAGCGCTCAGGGCGGTGGATGCACATCCGTTAGCTGCCCAGCGGCTGCTGCGGGCCCCCCACACCCGACGAAGGCACACCTGGCCTGGCGGGGCTCTCGGTCAAGTGTGCAGATGAGGCGGGCGCAGGAGAGGTGCCCACCTTCCCCATATCCCGGGTCCCCCTCCAAACTGCCCCAAGGGAACTTGACACAGCCACGCCCCCACTTTTCCAGTCGATCAGAACAGCCACTGGGCGGGGTGCCTCTGAGCTACTCATTTAGTCCGCTCCCACGTGCCCGCTGTGCTGTGTCTGTGTCTTATTGTCACAGGACACTGTTTTTCTACAGTTGGACCCGTGGGGTGTTCTGACAGATGAGTTTTCTCTGCATCAGCATTAGCCTTTGTTCAGAAAAAGAACAGTGTACACACCTACATCTCCCCTAGCAACGGTGTATGGAAATCTTCGGAGGGACTGCTTGGCAGTAAGGCTGATGGAGGCCGTTTGCTGCAGGACAAACAGACAGGTTCTCATTCAGAAGGACTTAGCAAGGCCTGCAAGCCCGGCCGGCGGGGCTCCGGGCTGAGCGTCAACCTACGAACCAGGAGGTGACAGTCCGATTCCCAGTCAGGCACAGGCCCGGGTTGCAGGCTCCATCCCCAAGAGGGGGCGTGCAGGAAGCAGCCAGTCAGTGATTCTTTCTCATCATGGATGTTTCTCTCTGTCTCCTTTCCTCTCTGAAATCAATAAAATATATTTTTAAAAAATACCTGCAAAATGGGGAGTCCCATATTTATAACCAGAGGCCCGGTGCATGACATTCTTGCACTCAGGGTGGGGGTGGGGGTCCCTCAGCCCGGCCTACACCCTTTCATAGTCCAGGAGCCATTGGGTGATGTCTGACTGACGGCTTAGGCCCACTCCTAAGCCAGCAGTTGGACATCCTTAGTGCTCCTGCCAACGGGGGAGAGGCTCCTGTCACTGCCACTGCGCTCACCAGCCATGAGCCGGCTTCTGGCTGAGTGGTGCTCCCCCTGTGGGAGCACGCTGACCACCAGGGGGTAGCTTCTGCATGGAGTGTCTGCCCCCTGGTGGTCAGTGTGCATCGTAGCGACCAGTGAATCCACCCCTTGGTCGGTTTGCATGTTACCCTGTTATTATATAGGATTTGCTACCTATGAAAGTTGATGTTAACACAGAATCATTATTCTGGTAGCGTTTACTAGAACACACACACACTCGGAGTTCACCGGAACACAGATGCCGTCTGGTTTTTATAATGCCCGTGCATTATTTTTCAGCCCATTTTCCTAAATGAGGTTCTAGTAAAATTACCCACCGACCCGTCTGGGGATGAGCCCATCTTCCACATCTCCCACATCGACCGCGTCTACACCCTCCGAGCAGAGAGCATCAACGAGAGGTAAGAGCCGCCGCCTCCCTGGTGCTGGGCACTGGGTCTCGCCAGGTGCAGCCCATGTGGGGCATTTAATGAACCGGCAGGCCCACGCTCCCCATCCCGAGCCTCAGCCTCTGGCTGGAGGGGGCGGGCAGGTCCTGTCCTTGCTTCTAGAGCCCCAGGAGGTGGACACGTGGCGGGAATGTTTCCAAATAGAACGAATTGACACTCATCTGCTTGGAGTTCCGGGGCAGGAATCTTCGTCATTTCTTTGAGATGAACAAGCAGCTCAGGCCTCCCAGGCGGCAGGAAGCAAAAGGAAAGCGCTTTGGGGGTTAACAGGACCCCCACCCCCGCCCCCTCCTGTGGACAGACATTCTGGACCCCGGAGCTGTGGGCACTTTGCTTCAGTGTCCGCCTGGAGCCAAAGGAAACAGATTGGCTTCCGGGAGGAATGGACACAGGCCAGAGCATTCCAGGGAGCGTGTGCCACTTGGAAACGGGCCAGTTCCGTGCAGGGAGCATGTGCCACGTGGAAACGGGCCGGTTCCATGCAGGGAGTGTGAGCCACGTGGAAACAGGCTGGTTCTGTGCAGGGAGCATGTGTGCCACGTGGAAACAGGCTGGTTCTGTGCAGGGAGTGTGTGTGCCACGTGGAAACGGGCTGGTTCCGTGCAGGGAATGTGAGCCACGTGGAAACGGGCTGGTTCCGTGCAGATGGGCCTGAAAGATGAAGTCTTGCCCACGGTGTCCGCCGCTTCATGGACGCGGTCCCTCTTCCCTGACGGTTCAGGAGCCAGAGCCTGGCCGGTGGAGCTGGCCGAGCGGGCAGGTGTGCGCTGCTCCCGGGAGGGAGGGGCACGGCCGTGGCCCACATCGCCCAGGGAGCGCCCAGGACACCGGTT